AGATAGATGGTGGGGTGCTTGCATTAGCCTTGATAGAATAAACAGATGAAAGTGGAAGACAAGACCTCTTATGTTGTAGGACTTTCGCAGTCGTTTAGAGTATAACTTTTCAGTTCATTCAGCTTTAACTTTAAGTAAAGATGGTATCAACATAAGGCACATATGTTTACAGACAAGCTACCCATGGACCAGGCAACTCTAGAATATTGGGCACCTCGCGTTGTCGCGTTTTGCTGTCCGGCACATAGGTCCTACCTTATTTGTGGACCGAGACCATTGAACAAGCTCCTGCAGACAATTGCCCCTTTCTGACTCGAAAGAAACATCAAGCTTCGAAAACGAGTGAATGTGTATTAACGGTCGCTTTTTACCCTTATGTTATTATCTTTGCAAATGAACTTGGTTTACACTTTTGTGGGGGGGGGGCGGTTATTTAGACAGGTCAGATGTACCTGCAGTTTGATTATACACATTGGCATTCACAGTTTCGACAGAAGCAACATATTTGTTCATGCATTAATGTGGTTTTTCGAATCTGGCAATATACATGCTGTTTAACTTCTAAGCACTATCGTACGCCGATCGTTACATATCGTCGTACTGTAATGCATTGCTCGGTATCACATAATGAATGTCGTGACAGCGAGCTGCCACCACTTGCAATGCATGCCCTTTGTAATGGTCAGCAGATCCTTTTTGGGCGAATTGGCAGAACGGTGGGATTTCATGCGTTACTGTTTATCTTGAGGGCAGCTTATAGAGCCATGAGTACTTCTGCTATAACAATTTGTTTGTTGGACGGGTATTTGGTGGTAATATCGTTCATGATTTTACAGTCGGGCCAAATAGAAATTTACAACTGTATATACACCGTATATAATTAGTAGTAGTACTACGGTGACACGATATAGCGGTAGTAATCACAGTAATATCATTACTGTTTCTGCCTGTATAACGCTGCTGTACAAATACCAGCAGCAATATCGTCTTCCCCTATTCTTAATTACGACGAATCAGGCATCGTTCATATTTGATTTCAAGTAATGCAGCAAAAATGAGAAATAAGATTTTTCCCTGCACTGCTATAAATGTTTTCGAGTAGTGTCAGTTCATCGCTTTAAGGTCTTTTCGAATAAGGGTATTTGCTAAATTTCGACTACCTATGAGTTTTACGACCCTAAATTGAAACCCGCTAGGGCCTTTGTGAGAATCTTGTATAGTTGGGCTGCTTTATATAAATTTTCTGAAGGCACATATTTTTTAATGAAAAAACTAAACGTTAGACTTCACATCATTTCTTTCCAAACATCCGTATCAGATCGTATAGTTCAAAATAATTTTATTTCAAGTGTCTTTCTAACTATGCTATCCTAAAAGAATGTGCATGCACTTTTTATACTTAAAGTTCCTGATCACTGCCTTCCTGAGCTAAAAAATCACGTGCAACCACAAATGTTTGAGATCATGTGACAAGACGAACAAGACGAATTATAGTCGAATGTATCTGTTGGGCTGCTACTTTAGCCTTGAAAGTCTGTCATGCACCTAAAAGCATTCTACTAATGAAGTAATAGTAATCGTAGTTGGCTGAATTTTGTATGCTTTAAAGTGGCTTTTCCATGTGAAGGGCAAAAAATACTCGGATTACAAACTTGCTGAGAGAAATCATTGGCAACCACCATATGTATCAAGTCAAATTTATTGGCTTGTACAACGGTTGTTGTTATCAGCATAAGTGCGTCGAATAAGGATGTAAAAAATATCAGTATTTAAGCGCTAACAGCGTGTACAGCTGTCAGGAGATTTGAGCAAATTGCAGACCTACCGCACATAGCAGTGGCACATAGATGTATTCCAAAAAACGTTTAATTCCTTTGATCATGCCATGTAATGTCTGAAACGGAGAATAACGATTTTTGTACTACACGCATGGAATTTTAACGAATGCACAGACGGTTAGACCTTTTGCACCATTTCATGACACAATCAGTAAAATTTTTAAGACGTGTAAATTTGTTCCGCTAATCTTAAGACAGTATTAATCATTTTGTCACCTGCGCGAATATTTTAGGTTCAAGTCGTAGCTACAGTTCTTACCAGTCCTCCCTTTGTCCAATCAGTCGTTACCTTCTTACGGTGACAGCAACAGAAAGATAGGCATCGATGATTATTCCACCTGACTAACTTTTTTGTTTAGCTGAAAGTGACCGTTAAGGCGGTGATGAATGACACCGTTGGTCAACTGGCTGCTTCGAGTTATATTAATGGCGCCGACTGCGTCATCGCCGTAGTTATCGGTAAGTTCAAGACATATGCAACGTGGAGTCGCTAAATGTTCTTTGCTTTTTAGGTTATGGTTGCAACGCCTCGTACCTTGAAGAGGTGGCGAATATAAAAAAGTTCGATGCCTCGGAAGCTAACTATCATTTCCCGAATGTATGTATGGGAGTTGGTAAATCGACGTAACCGCGACTGCTTTATAGATGGTGATCGACACGGAATGGGAAGAATTCGGAAGGGACGGAGAGCTCGATTTCATACGCACGCCATTCGATATTGAAGTCGACCACAATTCGGTTCATAAAGGAAAGCAAATGTATACATTTGTATTTTTATTGTACATGACCATACATGCACATGATGAAAGAATAGTCGCCTCAAATTTACCTCTTAATTGTTTCAGCATCGACAAACTGACCGGCGCTTATTTCCTTGGCGAGCTTGTGCGAGTGATCATCGACCAGCTGGCCGTCGAAGGCTTGATGTTCGGCGGCGACCGACCGGAGCTGTTTACGTTGCCGGATACTTTTCCGACGAAGTACATCGCCGAAATACTGAGGTAATTTTCTCCACGGCAGCTCTCTCGGTCGACGCGTTGTTGATTTCGTGCTTTTTTGGTTTATGTTTTTAGCGGCGACGGCGAGGACGAAAGCAAGACGAAGAGTATTCGGCGAATCCTGGAGGAACTGCGAATACCGATTCACGCACCGATGGATTATATCATCATTCGAGATATATGTTCGGCGGTCGCGTCTCGTTCGGCTAGCATCGTTGCTGCAGGTATCTCATTTTCGAACGGTCCTTTTTGACATGTTTCCTTTAGTGTAATATGGTAAGTTGATTGCACTGACGATGGGATCACCCGTCAGGTGGGTGAATTGCATTACAGTCACGGTAAAAAGCGGACGGGCGGAAATCTAGGTTCTAAATCTTTATTTCGAGAAAATGACGGAACTTTTTTATCCTACATTATTCTATTTTATTGCACAATAATAATTCAAAGAATATTGCGTAATCACTGCAGTGAGCATTTTACGAAATAATACGCTTGGACAGCAAAAATGCTAAACGAAAAGGAGACACATACTTACAGATGGCATGTACAGCAGGGGAAGACATACAAAATGAAAAATCAAATTTAAGGATGAATGCTGAGGATGCGGAGAACCAAATGACGTTTGATGCTGAGGACCAAATTCCGGCTAAGTGAAAGATACCTAAAATTCATTTCATAAAAGTTACCGCAAAATGTTGCGTGTTTTCAACATTTTTAATGTTTCTGAAATATTACTTTCATTTCCTTTCATTCGACATGCTATGAATCTGCAGAGCGTTTATGCCAGTCGTATAGGTTCTCCTTTCAGTGTGTCCATTTCTGCAGTTTTCATCAGTCAATTTGAATCCGTCGCTTTGCATTTCTGTCCATTTTTTAGCTGTTTTGCTATTGCAATCATTGAATAACGGTTCATCCAGTTGTTACCCGTTGGCTCAGTTTTCGGACTGGCCACACCTCATCACACGAGCTACATGTTTTCCTAACCGGAATTGATGTTAATAAGAAAAATCTTCCATTCTTCTGGGCATTTATCTACCACTTAAAAAGTGATGTCAATTCACATACACCCTTTATCACCTACTTTTAAATTTTCTTACGTCATCGCAGGATATGAGCTTTTAGATCCGATTGAATTAAACAAGAAACGTGTAAGTTAGAGGTACCATTTCAGATCCATTATATGACAGTATAATGTGACCTCATGTACTGAATTAGCTACCACGAGTGTCCAGTTGCGCCGGTAAATTTATTTTTTATTTACTGATACTGAATTAGCATGGCGAAAACCGCCCCTTTATTTTCTTCGTTGACCATTTAAGTGTTTTACAGATTCATGGTATTTACGTTCCTGCATTGCGTAGGATGCAAGACCACTTCAGTGGATACCCGCACCGCCTAATGCTTATTAACACGCAGGCTCCTTATTGTTCGTCTTAGATGACCGTGAGCTTATTCAGCAACTGTCTTTCAGACAGACGATGCAATGTATTAGCTATGCTCAGAAAGTTGAATGTCACTTGAGTGATTTGCCGAAGTGCAACGCAGTGGACTGAGCGGCAGTTTCACAGTCGACCGCTTGCTGAAGTTTTGACCCGATCACTCACTCACCTTCGATGTTTCAATGAACGGAACATATCACTTACTGGAAAAGAAACAAATGATTGTACTCTTGTGTCTCATGTCTATAAAGCTTGCCTTCAAGTACAAGTATGCACTAGTCGCTAACTACCTCGTGTCAGAGGTTAAGGATCTGCGTATACCTCTAATGGCTGATTACCCAGCCCTTCTTTTATTCCTAAATTCTACGCGTACCACTGGGCGTTTGACTTTCACACAGATTTTGCGTAGCACTTGTATCCTGCTTTGTAGAAAAGACGAAGTCACATGATAAGTACTCTGCACTTTTTTAATACGGCTTTGAGCTTGACACAAGATTTTCTTTGTTTTTTCTTCTCCGACACAGAAGCCATCATCCGAAATATTTCACAGTACAGTCAACAATTTAAGCAGTGGAGAATAAGGGTAATAACATGTTTATAGAATTGTTTCGAGGTAGCAGAAAATTACAGGGAACTTAATCAGACTCGAATAATCTTGATATTGTAATTTACTTTAAAATGTGGCATGGGCAACAATAGAGTTAGTCAGTGTTACACGTCTTAACACGATGTGTAGGAGTGGGAGTTCACAACTACTAGAACAAATTCGGCTCTAAATTCGTAGATTGTTCCTGCAGATATCATGGAATTCGTCCCGCCTATTAAATATTAAAGCAGCTGTCGAACCAGCTTTGATGTGGCAGCTTAAACAAGCATAACTTTCTGCTAGTAGCTTCTTTTATCTGAAGTTTCTGGTAGTTTGAGCTGTTTCGATCGATGTAAAATCATAATTTGTCTTCTGTTTATCGCTGTTAATTGTGCCTTAGTTGTAGGCTTCTTCATTTCTATTTAGTAATTAATTTCTTTTCGCGTAATTTTTCGTCTCTCTCCATCACTTTATGACTATTCATCACTGAGTGACATGTTGCTTTAATATATTCTAAATATAATCAGAAGCGGTAATTCTGTTAATCAGTAATCTTAGCTTTATATATTTTTTGAACGCGTGTAATTTCTAAACGTCATCAGATTAGGGTTTGCTATATCGAATTACTATATTTGGTGTACGTCCGAAAAATCCTTTTCGGGATAAAACCATATTTCGAATTTATTATGGGCAGCACCTGGAATCATATACGATTTATCTTCAGGGCGAGTCATTATCCGAAATCAAATGTTACAGTATAATTTGGTGCGCTCAGGCAGCAACTTCAGTGGAAAGGTTTTAACGTCAATAGTGACACGAGCTTCGTAATTTTGTTTCCAACGTATTTTCTTGCATTTGTTCGACTTAGTTACCAAGGTTTCCTTTGTTTTATTTTAAAGAATTTTTGTTCATATATTTCTGCTATTCGACTCCGTAATATGCGATGTCCTTGTTCTGCACGCTCCACT